CCTGGGGGGAAGGGCGAGGAGGGCGGCTGGGAGCCTCTAGGGCTGCTCTCATGCCCCACTGTGCTCCCCCAGCCCAAGCCCACGTGCATGGTGCCCCCCATGCCGCACAGCCCTGTGAGTGGGGACAGCGTGGAGGAGGAGGAGGAGGAGGAGAAGAAGAAGTCATCAACGACTGTGACTTCTGGTCCAAAATTTAAAGATGGCCAGAAGTAGTCTTTATGTCATTCTTATGGTTGGTGAAATAACTGTGCCAAAACCATGTGTATGATTTTTACATGTTCTGTTCATTTTACCTTGATTCTGACAAGCAACCACAGCCAACCAGCTAACAAGGCACACTTTGGACACAGAGGAGACCAAATGCAGACACTGAGATTGGGTAGTGCAAATCTGATACCACATTAGGAAAAAATCTCCAAGTGCGCACTTCACTGGTTGGAGTGGAAGCTTGTGTCCTCTTTTCATAAGAAAGGTGTCAATGTCAAGAAGTTTGATCTGAAACTACAATGCCAAGAAATGTAAAGTTCATTAAGATTATAATACATTTATAATAATCAAATAATAATTCCAAAGTATAAGCTCTTAGTAACAGAATCTTAAAGTCAGGGAGACACTGGTTGAAACTTCTTGAGCTTCACTCTAATCAATGTTTAATCAATGAATAGAGGGACATTAAGCAAAAAGAATGTACCTTTTAAAAATAATACCTCTTAATACATTTGAATCCATTAATATTGTCTTACTACATCATAATTCCTCTAAACTTGAAGGATCAAAAACTTTAAATTAAAAACTTATCAATTATCTACACTAATAAAAGACAAACATGCAAATTGACCATACCTTTGCTACACCTTAAGCCATGCCCACCAGTCAATCAGAGCAACTATATGCAAAACCCAACCAAGATGGCTGCTAGCAGGAGGCTTGGTTGCCCCAATGATGGAGGAAGCCAAGCTTTCCAGCTGCTGCGGCCAGCTCTGAGCTCCACTCAAAGCAACAAAGTTTCAATTATAGAAGGTAAATAAACCCCAGATACCTGCTTTCAGCCGGCCGGGGCCACAGAGCTGGAGCGAGCAGGAGGCCCGTCCTGGCCGGCTCTGAGCTCCACTCCAGGCTACAAAGTTTCAATTATAGAAGGTAAATAAGTCCCAGAATTAAAAAAAAGAAAAAAAAGAGAGGCTGGAGCTTCTGTAGCCAGGGAGACTTGGCCAGCCTGAAAATAGCCCTCAGCCCCTCACCCAGACTGGCCAGGTACCCCAGTGGAGACCCCCCACCCTAAAGGGGGTGTGGCCAGCCTGAAAACAGCCATCAGCCCCTTACCCAGGCTGGCCAAACCTCCATGGGGTGAGGGTCCCCACTGGGGGGGGCTTGACCAGCCTGCAAACAGCCATCAGCCCCTCACCCAGGCTCGCCAGGCACCCCAGTGGGGACCCCCACCCTGAAGGGGGATGACCAGCCTGCAAACAGCCATCAACCCCTCACCCAGGCTGGCCAGGTACCCCAGTGGGACACCCACCCTGATCCGGGACACCCTTCAGGGCAAACCAGCCAGCCCCCACCTGTGCACCAGGCTTCTATCCTATATAATAAAAGGGTAATATGCAAACTGGCCCTAACAGCAGAACAACTGGGAATGACTGGTCACTATGACACACACTGACCACCAGGGACCAGACGTTCAATGCAGGAGCAGCCCGCTGGTGGTCAGTGTGCTCCCACAGGGGGAGCTCTGCTCAGCCACAAGCCAGGCTGACGGCTTCCAGTACAGTGATGGTGGTGGGAGCCTCTCGCACCCCCTTAGAGGTGCTAAGGATGTCTGACTGCAGCTTAGGCCTGCTCC